CTAAGATAACCTGCCTAAATGACTACCGACCCGTAGTACTGACGTCTGTAGCCACGAAGTGCTTTGAAAGGCTGGTCATGGCTCACATCAACACCATTATCCCAGAAACCCTAGACCCACCCCAACAGATCCACAGATTATGCAATCTCTATTGCACTCCACACTGCCCTTTCCCACCTGGACAAGAGGAACACCTATGTGAGAATGCTATTCATTCACTACAGCTCAGCATTCAACACCATAGTGCCCTCAAAGCTCATCACTAAGCTAAGGATCCTGGGACTAAACACCTCCCTCTGCAACTGGATCCTGGACTTCCTGACGGGCCGCCCCCAGGTGGTAAGGCTAGGTAACAACACATCTGCCACACTGATCCTCAACATGGGGGCCCCTCAGGGGTGTATGCTCAATCCCCTCCTGTACTCCCTGTTCACCCATGACTGCATGGCCAGGCATGATTCCAACACCATCATTAAGTTTGCCGACGACACAACAGTGGTAGGCCTGATCACCGACAACGATTAGACAGCCTATAGGGAGGAGGTCAGAGACCTGGCCGTGTGGTGCCAGGATAACAACCTCTCCCTCAACGTGACCAAGACAAAGGAGATGATTGTGGACTACAGGGAAAAAAAGAGGACTGAGCACACCCCCATTCTCATCGACGGGGCTGTAGTGGAACAGGTTGAGAGCTTCAAGTTCCTTGGTGTCCACATCACCAACGAACTATCATGGTCCAAACACACCAAGACAGTCGTGAAGATGGCACGACAAAGCCTATTCCCCCTCAGGAGACTGAAAATATTTGGCATGGGTCCTCAGATCCTCAAAAGATTATACAGCTGCACCATCGAGAGCATCCTGACTGGTTGCATCACCGCCTGGTATGGCAACTGCTCGGCCTCCTACCGCAAGGCACTACAGATGGTACTGCGTACGGCCCAGTACATCACTGGGGCCAAGCTTCCTGCCATCCAGGACCTCTATACCAGGCGGTGTCAGAGGAAGGCCCTCAAAATTGTCAAAGACTCCAGCCACCCTAGTCATAGACTGTTCTCTCTGCTACCGCACGGCAAGCGGTACCGGAGTGCCAAGTCTAGGTCCAAAAGACTTCTCAACAGCTTCTACCCCCAAGCCATAAGATTCCTGAACAGCTAATCATGGCTACCCGAACTAGTTTCACTGCCCCCCCTCCCCCACCCCCACCCCATCTTTTTATGCTGCTGCTACTCTGTTCATTATTTATGCATAGTCACTTTAACTATACCCACATGTACATATTACCTCAACTACCTCAACTAGCCGGTGCCCCCGCACATTGACTCTGCACCAGTACCCCCCTGTATATATAGCCTCCCTACTGTTATTTTATTTTATATTCTCAACACTTTTTTGTTGTTGTTTTATTTTACTTTTTTTATAAAAAAAATTAATGCATTGTTGGTTAAGGGCTGTAAGTAAGCATTTCACTGTAATGTCTACACCTGTTGTATTCGGCGCATGTGGCCAATAAAATTTGATTTGATTTGATTTGATGTCATCACTAGTTCACTTCACTTAAATTCTTACAGAAAAGAAAACCACCCACACATTATTAGGAACTACCCAATTATTTATTGTAGCAACGCATCAATCCCATGAATGAGTGAAAAAGTGAACAACCTATAATCACAAAGGGTGAGATAAGAGGAGACAATGGACTATTTTTTCATTTTACAAGTCATCCTACATTCATGTTAGCTGTGCTGACATGTTGCCTCTAGTTCAGCTGAAGCAATATCTGTGGGTTTATTTTGGTAAGTACCACTGTGCATGTGTGCACCGTTCTGTATCTGTGAGTTCTTTGTGTGCTTTACGCAGCAGTGTGTGTCTCGTTGAGTGTGTATACATGCTTGTCATTTTGGAAATGGGGGTAAGGGTGAGGCACTTTAGTGACCCGTGGCTGAACTTGCCCCCCTGCTGTGGCCTTCTGGAGGACCTGTACGGTTAGAGTCGAGATGGTGACGGGGGTGAACGGGGGCATGGGTTAGGTTGGTGGGGTGGGGGATAGTTTTGGAGAGGGTTAGGGGTTAGATGGATAACAACATTTGATTCATTTCAGAGTTACACGTTAATTGCCTTCAGTGTTTTTTTGGAGCGTGTGGGCCAGGGGCAGGTGCACCCCAAGCCTACCCTATAGTCCCCTAAACTTTACTGTACAAAAGGTTCAGTCATGATGAATTCCATTTAAATGTTATACCAAAGCAGATAAAGAGGGTACTCTCCAGTGTGCAACAGTCTCTGTCAAACAACCTTGTAAGTCCAGCAGACTATTTTCATTATCGCCAACTGTTAGTGAGGTGCAAATTATCTAACAAGTGAAACATCCCTCCAGCTTTAAGTGGTACCTAAGTGGTATTGTATGGTTCTCAAACTGTTGCCTTTCACCTGTTTCAAACTGTTGTGTGGGCCGTGGCCATTCTACATTTCAGGTCACATTAATATAACTTATTATTCTGAGATCTTTCTGAGATCTTCTCTACTTATCCTTTTAGTGTCATCTGCCACAGCTTCCTCCCTTCCTCCCTTCTCCCCCAAGCCCAGTTCCCTAGGAGGTAGGCAACTCTCCTACTTCTGGAAAAGTGCAACTGGAGCATCACCCCAGACAGGAGAGGGAGGGAAGGAGGGAGAAAGAGAGAGAGATCAGCCAAGCAGCCCGCTGAGCCTCCCTGTTCTGAGCCTCATCTCAGACAGTCTGCTTATTAGAGAAATTAGCTGTGGAGTGAAAGAAGCTGAGCGAACTTTAGGCTTCCACCCCCCCCCCCCCCCCCCCCCCCCCCCCCCCAATCACACACACACAACAGTGAAGCGCCCAGCACTCCTGGAATAGAAGTTGTGCCATATGGCAGTCAATTTAGCTACCGTTTCACTGGGCAAGTTAAGGACAGGACAGGGGGGTGGGGGTGCTAGACAGACAGACAGACAGACAGACAGACAGACAGTGGCATGCAGGACAAAGAAACACAATCTATTTACACATAAATATATATATTTATAGTGAAGTCAATTAAATGCTACGCAACGCAAGCAGATAAATGCTTTCGAAATATATGCACACGCCCAATAACCAAACACAACACATTTACGCATAAGATTAATTAAATAAAATATGGAATGTCCTTATAATCCAAAGTATATAAATACGATTTATTAACTATAAATAAATATTTCAATATGTATATTTCAGCATATTATGTACTAGCTACTAAATCCCCCCCCCCCCCCCAAAAAAAAAGTATGTAAATTTTTTTTACTTTTGTAGCTTATTTTATCTTTGTTTAATTTCCCAGGTTTTCCCTGTACAAATCTAGATGAATCAACCTAGAGGCATTTTTACATTAACCCCCCTTCCAATTATCCAGTAAGATCATTCAACGATATACAGTCATTTCACATTGAGGATCCTTTGCACCTCTGTGTTTTATTGTGAATCTAACAAAAATATCTGAAGTGTTTGTGTAGCTGTGTCTGTGTATACATGTGTGTTTGAACATGACTGTTTAGGGTCCTTTGCACCTACATCTTTTATTATGAATACCATTTTTTTTTATGTGTGTGTGATGTGGAGGATTGAGGAGAGCAATATGTTGCAGGCCAAGATATAGGTCAAGGAGAGGGGTTGAGGAGGTTATGCCACCAGACCAGATTGCTCGTTAAGGGCCAAACCAAGCAAAGGTTTATCAGTGTGTTTTTCAGTGGCCACAAGCCAGCCATCTGCTATTCCTTTATTCATTCATTTAGATGTGTTACGTGGGCCGTTGATTTGGGTGTGCACATGTGTACTCGTGTGTGCATGGTCACTTGCGGCCAAAAGTGTACATTCATGCCATTGTCCAAAGCCACCAGTTTTGTGTCAATTGGCGCACGTCCAACTAATCTTCTCAGTCACATGGCCAACAGCAGCTTCTCATTGGATGAGAGGATGGGGTCAAAAGCCTGGCCCAAGCCTGGCTCAGGAGTTTTGGTGGTGTGCACAGCACTGATACCCAAAGGATCTTACAGGGAGGAATTGCTGGAAAAACAAAGAGAGAGTGACACTGGAAATAGTGGAAGAGAAGAAACAGAGAGGACGTGAGGGATGACATAAGCAAAGAGATGATGATCCCACAGCTAAATGTCTAAAAGTAAGTCAACTGCTTCCTATTTTGAATCTGTATGACATCCATTGTTTTAGAAGGAAGTTGTTAATGCAATATATCTAGCACAGTAATTGTGAACTGTTCTATTTCTATGGACAGTGAATGAACTGAATGGATTTGACCCCTTGGGTCTAATTGAGTTTGGATTGGGATAATAGCTCATGGTCAACAACAGTGGTTGAGAAATGGAGTTGACTCATTTACACTTACTTGATGGACTGGGATTTGGATTTGATGATCCGTGGCGATATTCAGAATAACATTGGGGCTTGGAATATGTTAAATATTTTTGCTGGGTTGAATGGAAAATATGGATAGATTTTGGGTGAAATGACGCATGTTGACTTGATTCATAGTTCCGATATTGAACGAGAAGTTATTAGCTTGTTGATGTTTTGGTTGAATTACATTGCTTATAATTTTGCAATGTATCTTTGCTCCATGGATTATATTGACAACTGCAAACATTGTCAACACCTCATCCTGCAGTGGGATTAAGGCTGTTTCAGTCAATTCAAAATACAGTGTTTTGGCTATGCTTATCAGGAGACAACAACTAGTGACAACAACAAGCAAGGCAAATGGATGCCACTAGTGAATTCAAAAATACCTTTGAATTCATGCAAAGATAAAGTAGCAATAACACCCCTTCTCTCCTTTTTCTCTCTTCCAGACCTCGAGCTTTAACCAACGTACCTAAAGAAGAGGGTCCAGCCCTTAAAGTGAACCAAAGTATCACCAAAGTAACGCCATACCAAAGCACCCCAACCAAACCAAACCAAGTCCAGCGAGGGAGAGAGAATCAACACATAGAGTATCAAGATGAAGCTGGAGACAGCCCCAGATATGAGTGAGTGGCGAGAGGACGACTTTGCCCTCAACTGCACCTACATCGTCCCTGACCAGACGTCAGACCCCAGCTTTGGCGTGCCCAAAGCCATGACGTCCATACCCCGCAACCTCACCTTTGAGTACAACACAGAGAATGAGGTAGGAACTTAACTACATACAAATCACATTAAGTAGCATTTCTGTGAATGTGCCAGATTTAGAAAGCAGGAGGGAATACAGTACATGTTCACAGCCAAGTTACATGTTTGTGCATTGAAATGTGCTGTGATACACAATCATTTAGGTTGGACTTTTACTTGCACCTAACACAACCCTTGACTTCTGGCTGTCTCAGATGAATTTAGACTTCATTAATTAATTCAGACTGATAGAGTATGCAAGACATTCATTATTCTCTACAAACTACAAACAATGCTCATACTCTATCAGTCTGAATTAATTAATTCAGTCTAAATTCATCTGAGACAGCCAGAAGTCAAGGGTTGTGTTAGGTGCAAGCAAAAGTTGCTCCATTCCATTCCTATGTCTGGTCCGTTTAGTGTGTCACAATGGCCACCTCGTGGGATCTCAGGTAAAAGGCCTAAACCTCTTTACTGTTACAATGTCTCTAGGTCAGTGTGACAGTCATGTCTCTGGGTCCACACACACACACACACACACACACAGGCTCGTACACAAAATCCCAAGGCTATGTGTGTCAGGAAATCCGCTTAATGGCTTGGCTTTATAACTCTATGACTCACCTGAGAAGGTATCTGCCAGAGCAAGAGGTTTGAGACTGAGGGTCTCCTAAAATGGACACCATACTATAAGTTTTCTGCAGAATTTGCTCTAATGAAAATTGACCTTGAAATTGTGGTTGAAAAGCCACCTCTTTCTTTTTGAAAAACAAAGGCCACCGTTCTCTCTAGCACACTTCTCACTTTGTCATTCTTCACTTTTCCTGTGGTTGATTAAGCATTCTCTTGGTTCCTCTTTTTCTCAGTCTTTTCATCCGAGCGACGCTTGTTTAGCTGTGAGCATCTCTTCTCTTCCTCTCTCTGCTGCCTTTTCAGCCTAGGCCTGCGAGGTGTGAAAACTGTGGTTATGAACTCATGTTGAGGCTTTATATGACTGTTAGTCGCCTTCCACCCTCACAAATTCAAAAATCAGCCAAACCAGATGCAGCATGTTTCATACACAGTGCAAGACTTCCCTTTTACACCAAGGGGTTGTGAGAAATCTGTTCCTGTTTCAGAGGCAAAGTGACCCTCAACTCTCCTGTGTCCTTGCAAGCAAGACAGATACAGTACTTGCACTTGCAAGCACAACTTTTCTTATATTAGTGTCTCACTGAAACATACATGTAAAGTACAACATTTCAAACACGTTACAGTCATTAACATATCCTTTGTCTTTTGGTAAGGTTGTCTTTGTTCCTCAGAGTAGCTTCCCTTTCTGATAATGGCATCATGGCAATTTCTCCCCGGATTAGTTGGAATTTGCTTGGGCAAACCATATACCCTGTGGCGTTTTTATGTCTTGTATGTGTGTGTGTGTGTGTGTGTGTGTGTGTGTGTTTCCCAGCAAAGGTCACAGTGCCAGAGGGTGTGTGAGTCAGCAGGAAACAGACACATAACAATTTAAATAAAAATAAAACCTATGCACTACCTAATAGTCCTTGCCAGACATTGGTTGTTACCAGTCATTGTTTACATTTACATTTTAGTCATTTAGCAGACGCTCTTATCCAGAGCGACTTACAGTTAGTGAGTGCATACATTAAAAAAAATGTTTTTGTCATGCTGATTGACGATAATGGAAAAGTACTACTTTGTTAGTAAGTTGTTATTGAGCAACAGAAAGAGAAATTCACATTCATTTTCATATGACCATTTTATTGTTGTCCTTTTTTTAGTTATAATGTACCTGTCTTAGGAGAATATAAAGTAAGCTGATTTGAATTGGTTGTACCATTCTTTCGTAACCCTGAAGCGTGCCGGGGGTGCGAGGGCACACGTGGCAGATGGGGCGTGGGGTGTTCCAAGAGAGGAGGGCTGAGCAGGAGGAGGGGGGTAAGTAGGTTAAGCTCCAACGATTAACTTTCGTTTGGGGTGCAGGGCAGGCATCGTCACGGGTCGCATTTCTTCGCTGCGAGAGGACCTATTCTGAGCAGGGACAGTTCCTCGTCTTCTTATTAACCTGGCTGAGCGGTCGTTAAGCATCAGCCCTGTTGCAGCTCATTCATTAGTCACGCTACACCGGGACCACACAATGTCCCTGTCACACCCGCTCTCGTCTCTCCCTCCGTCACCCCTTGGCCAGGACGCAACAGATCTTCTCCTTCCCCTCCCTCCCTCTCTCCCTTCATCCCCCCTTCCTTCCTTCACTCTCTTCTCCTTGTCTGCCCTCTATTACCCATTTATCACAAAACATTGTCCAAAACTAAACGTTTTGTAACTGAAAGATCATCTGAGAAGTATTACTGGTTCTCTCATTGTGTTTACATGTAAGGGCCAAGTAGGTAGACTTTGGAGCACAAGGAAGTAACTCTTGGCTAAAAAAAGTCCATGTCCTCATTATAAATTCAATTTCGAGGGACGGGTTGCCCTGTATCTCCTTCTTGGAAAAGGGGGGTTCAAGACAAAACCCCTTAAGACCCCCACGCTATGGGTGCGTCCCACAGATGCTCACTGCCAAGCGGGGGTGTCCCCAAACTTGATTTGGAGACGACTTGTGCCTTATTAAAACTTCCATTACATCCTAAAGATTTGTGAGTCATGCTGCCGTCAGGCCTCAGGGCAGTGAGTTTTACGATATTTCCTTGTTCCAGTTCTCGAGTTAACTGTGGATGCATTTTTTTCTTAACTTCATGGGTGTAACTTTAGTCTGGTAAACTCTGACTCAGAGTGTAGACATTGAACATGTACCGAAGAGACAGGGAGACTGGTGATGGTCATTCTCGCTGTTGTACTCCACCTCGCCAGCATGATAAGTAGCATGGATTAGTGATTGATGATGTATTGTCTTGTGTTCTAGGTGACAGGCGTTTTCAGCAAAGAGTACATTCCCCAAGGAACTCGTTTCGGGCCCCTGCAGGGTGACATCTACACCAAAGACAACGTCCCCAAACAGGCCAACAGGAAATACTTCTGGAGGGTGAGTTGGCAGAATAACCGTTCAAGTTCACACACACACAGTTTGTTTAATCATGGCCCAATTGTCCTCCTCATTAAAGTTCATAGTTATTCCTATCTTATCCTAACAGGATTCTGGCAGCAACAAATCAGAGTTGTCATACTCAAAGGAAACAGGATTAACAAAAATGCTTGCCAGAATCAGTCAGCTGGAGTTGTATATCAAGACATACTGTAAACACAGTCATGAAACCACATGAATAAAATGATACTGTGGGTTTTAGGGGGGAAATCTCAATGCCTTATCGAACAAGCTATGGGAACTGTTTCTCGAAAGAGACCGGAAAAGAGATTTGACAAAAAAACGTGTCCTAGTTTTCTTCTCCTAATTATTCTTAGACGAAGAAGCAAAAGTGGTTAAACAGTTTCACACCAAGTCAGTCAGTTCCCATCTAAAACGAAACCAAAATGCATCGCACAGAAGCCCAGAGGTATTCAGGGCTTTTGAACAGATTTTTGGGGAAGTTGTGGATCTTTACACGTACGCAACTATAGCATCCTTCACAGTAACACTAACCGCTTTCCCAGAGCTCAATTCCTATTCAACAAGTTTGACATATAGGAAGTGATTGTTAGTGTCCGGCTCTCTCTCTCTCATACACACTTTCTTCTCATTCCCACACACCCTCGTCCTCTCTGTCTCCCGGCAGTGACTTGTGTCATTCAGGAGTTTTCTCTGAGTCGTTTCCCCTTTGGTGCTTTCTGTCCTACGTTTTCACCTTTCTTCTGGCATTTCCTCCTGTAAGCCAGACCCTTCCCGTCCTACTACTGCAATAGTGAAAGTCTGACTTGCCTTGACAGTATGTCAACATTCTCACAGGCAGGTGTAGACGTGTGTGTCTGTGTGTGCCTGTGAGCACATGCCACCATCTACAGTACAGTATGTGTGTGCTTGTGTGTCTGCCAACACAACCCCTCTTACATTTCCTCAGGAGGTGCCAGTAAAAACAATTACAGTGCACTCAATATTTAATAAATGATTGAGAACTTGACAAGTGAGGAAATGTAATGGAAATGCGGAGGGTTGTCAGCATTGTGATGTACTGTATCTCCTGGTGGGAAGCAGCCATTCAGTTCTGGGCATATTGAGAGAAACCCCCAACCAGAGTGAGAGAGAAAAGAATAAACAAGCTCTTAGCCCCACCCCCTCTCAGTCAGTATAACGTAGCAGCTGATAAAAGCAGTGACGGTGCTGATTTCACACCAGACAGTGACAGTAGCTCAGAAACACAGCACAAGTGGAACAATAACCATCTCATTAGAAGAGGATATAGGAGACTAGTCTGTACATGGCAGAGGTGAACTATGCTTTCTATATATATATCTATATACTTTGATAACTGGCTGTCAGCTCAGCAACTCAACAACTACTATGAATATTTCAGTCATGAGTGAATGTAACAATACAAAGTTGTGTACTAACTCATCTACTAATGTGGTGTGTCTGATGTGACACTACGTTTAAACACAAATGTGTTTGTGCGTGTGTGTTCTATTCTATTATTTTATTGTATTGTTATATTATATTCTAATCACACTCTCCTCTTTTCCCTCTCAGATCTATAACAGGGGGCAGCTACACCACTTCATCGACGGCTATGACGTGCAGCGCAGCAACTGGATGCGCTACGTCAACCCAGCACACTCGCTGTCCGAACAGAACCTGGTGGCGTGTCAGAATGGACGTGACGTCTACTTCTACACCATCCGGCCTGTGGAGGCCAATCAGGAGCTGCTGGTGTGGTACAGCCAAGAGTTCGCCCAGAGACTGTGCAGCCAACCGGTAGACGAGCTCAAACAAAGTGAGTACCATCTTTGCCCTCCTCTCATCTGTTGACTCTCCTCAACTCCTCTTCTTATTTCTTCCTCCTCTACCCTCATCTTCCCCACCCTCTCCTCTTATCTCCCCTCATCTTCCCCACCCTCTCCTCTTATCTCCCCTCATCTTCCCCACCCTCTCCTCTTATCTCCCCTCATCTTCCCCACCCTCTCCTCTTATCTCCCCTCATCTTCCCCACCCTCTCCTCTTATCTCCCCTCATCTTTCTCTGTATGCTCTCATTTCATTGCTTCTTCCATCTACTCTCTAACTCTCTCTCTTTTCTGTGGCTCTACAATACAGCACTATTCTATGTTATGACACTTGAACTCAATGAGAAACTGTTAGTGGGTGAGAGGACAATGTAGTAAAAGACAGTCAGGTGCGATGAACACAGACAGTTTTCTTTTCATACCTAGATCAGATAAAAATGGTATTTAAATCTGTCTGCTCGATAAGATGACACAAAAGTGAGCCATTTTTGTCTGATCACAGACTTTCAGGATTATTGTCTTCAAAGCAAACAAGAAGTATCTTTCTCATCTTGAAAAGATCTCAGTGTTTATCAGATGGTAGACAATGAGACTGAGTGTGACGGAAACGGTTACCTGTCTTATTGAATTTCTGGAGTGGGTGGCATTGTTATGGAATACATCCTGAGCCATGGTTGGGTCAGCGAAACACAGATTTACTGACAAAACACAATATACGGCTGCACCTGCCTTAATGTAGAAGACAGCTCACCCACACACACTCACCCTTTTTTACACAACACAGGGAAAATCTCAAAAGAAGTAGGAAAGTTTTCTTAACAATGCCTGGTATGGCAAGGTGTCCATGCATTACATGACAAATAGTTTTGTTGCCAGAAAATCTGTAAGGAGACATGCCCTCTTACACTATAATTACATTGCACAGTCATTCAACCTGTTGACTAATGTTGACTAGGCTACAATGACATCAGCATTTACACAGTCCTTTTTACTATGTACTCCACACACTTGGCAATCCCTGATAAAGACTATAGTAAATAGGCTAGGCCTAAGATTAAACATAAAAATATAGGATAAAAGTAGCCTAAATTGAATTAGTCTATCCAAACACATTTGGTTTAAAATTACCAATTTCTAGGCCTAATAGATGTCTTACAATTCTTTCACTGAACAGGTTGCCACTGAACAGGTGAAAATGGAAAGTTCATGCCTAAACGTTGTATTGTCACTCTAATGCATGGTTTAATGCACTATTGTAGCCTACAGTGGTTTGACTTTCCATTTAATCCTGGTTGTAAGGCAATTCCTGTTAAACAATAAGTAATGCGCCAGTTAAGGTACACAGCTATTCACATAAATCAGCAACCGGTTTTCTATGACCACGAGCCAGTAAACAACTTTTTTTCTTTGCCCCGTGCCTATGGTGTGTGCCTCACGTTCCATGCACACAGGCAATACCTGTTTTTTACCACAAGGTTTCCAATTCGTTTTAGTAGAACTTCAAACAAGCCAACTAAATGGCAGTGATCTGCAGCCGCATTTCCAAATGTCTTTCTTCCTGAAGTTCTGAGAAAAATACGCTTGTAGGGTAATTCACACCTTGCGACAGAAACGTCCCAAAAATGAAAGCTCTTTGTTTTACTATCAATCTTACATGACACATACCCACATACACCCACACATTAAACACACACACGCTTCTCAAAATGAAAACATTACTATCATAGTGCCAGACAGAAACCATGGTATCTTTGAAGTGTCATCTATAAACTGAAAACATCATCATCGTTTACCATAAGAAGAAGTGCCAGGGAGGATGTGAGTGTAGTGTGTCATTAGTCACTTCTCACCTCATTAAGACTGTGAACTTTTGCATTTGTCAATCAGTACTCTCCTATGATAGAGTGATAAGTAAATAATGTCTCAGTAGGTCTACACAAAGGAAGGACTGAAGTTGTATTATTGTGTGGATTGGATAGGTTGACAATTGTTTTTGCAGCGTATTTCATACATACTCAAACACAACCCACTGTATTTGGCTTGTACCACTATGTCTGACCTTGTGTTTTTTCTTCTTCCATAGAACACATATGCGGAGATGTCAGAGAATCTGAGTTCACCAAACAACACCTACCTCAGCAGACCTGGCTCCTGGAAAAGAAGGACAATATGAAGGATGAGAGAGAGGATGAAGGAGAGGAAAGAATCGACGTGGAGGTGCTGGAGAGAGACACTCCACCCGACACGCCAGACGACCAAATCATGGACTTCAGCCAGAAGATGGAGAAGGAGGAGGTGACCCAGGACCACCAGGGAGCCATACCCTCTCCTCAACCTGACCAGAGAGAGCCCAACCTGGCATCTCACGTCTACGGTTTCCCTGAGCACCACCCTACTGCCCACTCCCCACACCGCGACCTTCCCCTCCACCTCCACGGGCTCTACAGCCACAGAGAGGGCCTAGTGTCCTCCTACCCCCTCTACCACCCCTCCAGACCCCTTCAATCCCCCTACCAGCTTCTCCCCACATACAGCAGCCCCCACTACCCCCAACCCCTCCTTCCCCAGTACTCCCCACCCTTCCCTGGGATGCTCCCCTCCAGAGGCCCCCTGCAGTACAGCAGCTACCTGGGTAGCGATGGACTTTCATACCCCTCCATGACCCACCAGCCTGGTCTGCTCCCAGTGCCTCTGCCCTACCTCGGAGCTACTCAGGGAGGGCTGAAGGAGAGGACCCCAAATATGTCACCTCCTCGTGGGGCCCCAGCCACCCCAGAGCTCTCCCCCCTGCCCAAGCAGGAGCACCAAACGCCCCCACAGTCACCCTCTGGCTGTGAGGAAGCCATGAACCTCAGCCTGGCCATGCCAAAGAGCAGCCCCTCACCACCCCCTGCCCCTGGGCACAAATCCCTTCCCTACCCCCTGAAGAAACAGAATGGCAAGATCAAATACGAGTGCAACGTCTGCCTCAAGACTTTCGGACAGCTGTCCAACCTCAAGGTGAGGATTTCATAGACATAGGTCGTCCTTTTGATTTCTTTGGTGGCCCAATCTAATCCTGTCTGTTATTGTGGGTTCCTATCTAATCTAGGCATTTTTCTTTTAGGTGCATCTGAGAGTTCACAGTGGAGAGAGGCCTTACCAATGTCACCTCTGTAAGAAGACCTTCACCCAGCTAGCCCACCTGCAGAAGCACAACCTGGTCCACACAGGAGAGAAACCACACAAGTGCACGGTTTGTTTGTGTTTTGATCCGCTTTCTCCAGTCTACTTGACCTCTAGGACACACACACAAGACACACACACACACACACACACACACAAGACACACACAAACACACCCCTGCCCTGCCCCTGTGACGTAAGGAATCCCTGGGCTTTTGTTGAACACTATACTGTAACTATGTGGGTGTGATCATGGCGTCAGTCCTATGTTTATTTTCATGGTAGGGTTCTCCCACTAAAAATAACCAGTCTAGGGTCATACCCTGCTGGCACACAACCAGAGAAGGCCCTGTCTGGCTGGCAGACAATATAGAAACCCCGGAGCCTGGTCTCACCCAGTTGTTCTAATGATATCACTATCACAACATCATCCTAACCTGAACTCTCCTATCTATCTGTTCCTATTCATATAGGTGTGTCACAAGCGCTTCAGCAGCACCAGCAACCTCAAGACCCACCTACGGCTCCACTCGGGTGAGAAGCCCTACGAGTGCAAGCTGTGCAGCACCAAGTTCACCCAGTACATCCACCTCAAGCTGCACCGACGCCTGCATAGCACCCGCGACCGCCCCTACCACTGCCCGCTCTGCGCCCACACCTTCCTCCACCGCTTCTCGCTGCGCGTCCACCAACGCAGCTGTTGCCCCGCCTCCGCCCGTGCCCACGCTAACCCCCATGCCCACGCCCACATCTGCGAGCTGGTCGAGCGCTTTGACACCAGCCCCGAGGCGGACACGCTGCCTGAAGGGGCAGGGCCGGCCCAGGTGGAAGCTGCAGTGGAGCACTGGGTGGCCCGGAGCTTGGAAGGGCGAGAGGGCAAGGAGGACCAGAGTGAAGCCACCCTGCTGCTCAAGGCCCTCACGGCGGCTATTAACACCCCAGCTCCTCCCACCACCTCATCTCAAAGCCCTACTTCAGCCTATCAGGAGAGGGCTAGCGTGGTACACCTCTACAACCGGCCAATGTTGAAGATGCAAGGGCAGTAGGGCGAAGTGGAAGGACCCTTGTGGGGAAGGAATAAGAGAGACATTTTTAGGGTCTACCTCCTGAAAGAAGGCCATATAATGGTGCAAAGCCAGAGAACAATCGATAAAGTAGTCGCCAAAAAAAGTATTTCCTAAAGGGGAAGCGAGACTATGAAAAGCCAATGAGAGAGCACCACCAAAACAAAGACCATTCCAAAGACATAGTGTTTTCTAATTAGCTGTGAGGTACTCGTAACTGTTTTCACTCAGGTTTACAGGTGTAATTTACATGGGATGTGTGAGAGAGTTTGCTGTACCCTCCTTTTTTTCTGAGAGCTTGTCAGCTATAGTTGTTCATTTGAGTGATTATTTTTAATTGTTAGCGTAATGTTACATGTCTTGATACTTCCATGGAGGCTTATTCCTGGGAAAACCACTGGACCATTGCCAGGAACTATTTATGGGATATTTCATGTTTTTATTGGTGGACAAGTCTTTGTGTGCATTTATTTATTTTTGCTAAAAGGGAAGACCAAGGATAAATTTTTTTACTTAAATAGTATATTCTAATGTAATGTAACAAAATGGAAAAAAGCAAACAAAAAATAGTCTGAATGTTATAATGTTCCGGTTCGATGCAAATAGCTTCTCAGGACTTCCTGTGAATCATCTAGCGATGTATTGGAGGTGCATACTTCTGCACAGAAACTTGCAAAAAAAAGAAAAAACTTTTGTTTCTCTATTTTTCTTTGTATTTTTGTATGTTAAAACATGTTAAGACAGTGCATTTGTATTTGAATTTGTAAGACATTTTTAACAGTTATGTTTTTCATTTATTTGCATTGTGTTCCTGAATATATCCTGAGATAGCATTGTGTTTCTAGGTCTTTCTCTTTGATTCAGTTGTTATCTACAGACTGTCGATAAAGCTTTATTTCATTCGTCCTCCATACTGGTGGTAGATTTGAGCCAGAACCAAATGTAGTCTGTACTGCACATACCCCTTTACTCAGTCTGCTCCTAGTACTACTGTATATATGCTCAGGTCAATGGCTGTAGACTCTTGTTATTTTACCAAAACTATCGACAAAAGTACCTCATACGAGAGCTGTAAATTTCCACTAGTACTGGAAAAGGCCGGAACTAGATCCATGTGCACCAAGGTTTCTGTTACCTAAAACAAAAATGGTGGAACTGTTCTAACATTATTACTACTCTAAGTGAGTCGTGAATACAAGTTTTTTTTTGTATACATATTTGTAATTTTTGTACAGTATGTTTGTCTATGTAGTTAATTTTTTGACCAAGGTTATGATATGTGGATACATTATGTCAGAGACTATTTTGATAATACTTTTATAATAAATGTAGCACATTAAACATATTGTTTCTCAAAATTAGATGTGTTTTGAGTTTTCTATTTTCTCTCTTCATAAATTCAATAATTGTATTTCCACGTTTACATGAACACACACACAGACACCCCCTCACAAATCCCCCCACATACTCTCGCCATCTCTTACTCATAACCCAACTCTAGAAAGTCCCACACAACCGCTCACTCAAAACTCTTCTTTGAGTTCACTTTCTTCGATAATAGAGAAACTGAGAGTATGCACTGATGTTCACTACAATCACATCACTTACCATCAGACTATACTTATGTACTAATAATGATTGCAATATTGAATGTGGATTATGTCTTCTGAGAAGATGTCACCTATTTGGATATTCAGCTCTCTTGAAAATCGGACAAGCTATTGTTATCACCTTTCAACATACGCATACAGTATATAATCATATTTTAATTCAAGATTTCTATAATTACATTATACCAGAACGTAGTTTGAAATGTTGATAAAAGACCACGCTGCTGTTTTCCACAAATACATTTTTTGATTTACGTGTGTTGATGACTGATGTGTTGATGACTGACTGAGTAAGGGCACACTTGATGAAGGTGAAACACAATGTGATGATGAACCTCCCGATTTAGTCAACAAAACTACACCATAGTTACAGTAAGCTGAGGCGCTCCTATTACAGTAAGATCTCTTTCTTTTTTCCCTCCCTCCCTTTCTCAGGTGCTGTCTCTCCTCTCTCAGGGTGTTTGCATGAGCTCTCTCTCTCTCTCTCTCTCTCTCTCTCTCTCTCTCCCCCTCTCTCCCTCCCTCCTTCTCCCTCTCCGTCTCGCTCTGCTCATCAAGGGAGAACCCCACTGGTTTATCTCATTGTCAAGCAGAGATGCCGTTAGCTAAACAGTCAGTAATTCTGTTAGCTAGCCAGTTACATACAATACATGGCCATTTAGCCAGCCAGTAAGCTTCAGAATTAGTCAGTTCTTTTTGTATTCTTGCCAGGAATAAGCCATAGACAATAAAGGCTTTTTAATTTTCCCACTACATAAAAATGCCTTGATTACTTCTGGAAGTTTTTTGCACAAAGGATTTTTCTTCATTGTTCACTATCCAGCATAAACTTCTGTTTGTTGTATTAGTCAGTCAATCTTTAAGCCTTCCATTTCAGCAGTCATCAAGTAAACCAGTGAAATACCAGTGACAAACTAGGTCATTAGCTGATCGAAACAGGGCCAATTTCCTGTTTACTCTTTAATTTATTCAACACGCTGCACCATAGTTCCTGTCGGTAGCTGGGAAGGGGTCAGACCACAGTGTCACGCTTCAATGCTATGCCTTCAGGACCTTCTTCATTGAACAGAAATAATAATAATAATAATAATAATAAACAAAACAACTATGACAGAGTAAAGAGAATGAAAGAGAAAAAAGAAAAGACTGGAATTAGGTGTGAGGCTAGAAACCTTTCATTCTGAGTTAATCATATTCATTGTCAGTCTAGTCGAGAAATCAAACAGTTACTTAGACACCCCATGGACAGTAAACATGCAACAGGGGTTTCTTACAGTAATTCACTGGTAAAGAGTATTTTTGATTGATGGATGTCTTTCTGGTGACTCTGTATTGGAGTGGGATTTAACAGGTCATTAAACCAGATTCATTCAAGAGTTTATTTGGTTTCCGATTAAGAGATTCCATTTAAATGTAGCATTAATGTGGTAAATCTCTCAAAATACAGTTTACGTTTTATGCACTTCATCTTTCTTTTTTTATTTGATATATTGTTAGGTGTTTTTACTTTATTTAAATAGTAAAGAAGTCAGGGACTGACAAGTAGAAGAGAAACAGTGGGAAGTGTGGATGCGGGGATTAAACCCTGGTCTCCGGTGCGGAGTCTTATATGTGACTTGTGCTGGGGAGTTTTACCATTACACCACAGATCTGCACCAGCACTTTTATGCTCCACTAGAAAGCGCTTGGTAATTGTTTAACAATAGGCTGAGTCACTTTATCTATGATCTGATACTGTTGGTATACCTACAGTATTACCTAATCACAAGACATACAGTATCTTACTAGTCACCCCTGTGTCTGGGTCTTATGAACAATTGGTATCTACTGGTGATGGCATATACTGGTGAATTGGAAATCCCCAGTTACAGTTTCATCTAGAAATGTATGTTCATATAAAGTAATTGCCTTTCACAATTAAATGCTCACATTACTTTTGATATGATTTTCTTCTCATTTGTTACAATACATTTTACTATTACTTAATCCGACTGCTCTTAGTTGATAATCACTTAACCATTTGATAAACCTATAGATGTTATATGCTACTGGTTTGTCTATTGCAGATTTTAAGAACTACAGAATGAAAATGTATGTTTGTAAAGTATAAACATATAAAGTATGATATACTGTATACTGTAATGTACTATTATGACTTATGATTATGAAAAATATCTGATATTAACATCAGAGGTGTGTTGGTGTGTTAGATGTGTTGGATGTTAGATGTGTTGAATGAGAGTGGCAGTTGTTTTGATTGAATTAAGAGATTGTTGTGATTGTAATGTTAACAGTTGTAACTTGTTTTTATCTTTGTTAGAGTGATCATTTTGTACTGTTATATTGTTGTATTGCTGTGCTCAGGGCACCTTTGGAAATGAGACCCGGGGACTCAATGGGTTTCCCCTGACTAAATAAAAGTTTACAAAAACTTGCATCCCATATACAGTAAACATGAATGAAGTTGCTGGGATATTTTTGATAGGGGGATTTCACACTGCTTTGCAGGAGACTATCTCCATCAGGGTTGTCAGAGAAGGGTAAGTGTTCACACATACGCACGTGTGCACACACACACACACACACACCCACACACACACACATTTGATTACAGTACACCTATGTTGTAATTATATCTGAACAACATATTTTTTCATCAATGATTGTGAAAGATGTCTTCAATGATCACACCTTTGATCACACATGGGCTAGAAATGATGGAAATTTGATTTTAAAGTTTTGATGGGTCACGTTTGATTGATAGTGTAAATGTATTGCCTAATGTCAAAACAGTGTAATGTACTGTAGAATATTACATTCAAAGGGCAATTTTGAAACACGTATCTTGCATTTTTTGCTATTGGATTAATGGCAATTGGATTACATCAATGTTCTCATGGTATTTCACAGTAAACGTATATTTTGGATCAATGGTTGTGTGGTGAAAGATGTATCCAAACAAAATAAATGCACAATAAAAGGTTTTGAATTTAAGACTTGCTGCATTACAAGTGTTACCAGTTTGGAGTTTTGTACTAAGATTTTTGAAGATTCACCACATTCTTGTGAAAATAGCACCAAAGCGATAGAAAAGAACTGTAAACAACAATACTCTGGCACCATAACCCATCACTCATAACTCTGTGTACCTTTTTGCATGGAACTGAGAAAGTAAAAGTACAACTAGTTCTTTACTTTTCCTCAGAATAAACAATTCTAGTTATGTTCTGTAGAAGTCGTGTGTGTGTGTGTTCGCAAATGTGTGTGGGTGTGTGAACACTTACTCTTCTCTGACAACCCTGATAGAGATAGTCTCCTGTAGTTGCCAGGGTGTGGTATCAACGACATCACTCCGCACCTTAATTCGCTGGC